GTTGCAACATGGCAACACAAACCTTTCCCGCACATACAATGACAGTTTTGGCTCTACAGTTTTCAATGCAAGCATTGAAGACAACATGTTAGCTCCTTCAGTAGAAGACAAAGAATTCCTTAAAGTAATGGACAATGAGTTCTTTCAGGAAGTTTCCAAAAGTTGAGTAGCACCCCTAACCTTTCGCCTCCCGAGAGAGAAGCTACCGAACAATCTACATCAAGCCATTAAAAGATTCTCCCCCTTAAAACGTATCTTAAGCAGGAAACCAGAGATGGAAAGACATTTTGTGGACTTTATCCAGAATATCTTTGATAGAGGTCATGCTGAACCTGCACCTCCACTGAAAGAAGGAGAAGAATGCTGGTACCTCCCTTCCTTCGGTGTGTATCACCCACGAAAGCCAGACCAAATCAGACTTGTCTTTGACTCCAGTGCCCAACATGAAGGCATCTCACTTAACAACATGCTCCTTACAGGGCCCAACTTGAACAACAGCCTGATTGGAGTCCTAATTCGCTTTAGACAAGAACCTGTAGCAGTGATGGCCAACATTCAACAAATGTTCCACTGCTTCATTGTCAAAGAAGACAGCAGGAACTACACAGCTTTCTATGGCACAAAGACAATGACATCAACAAAGAGGTAGTTGATTACCAAATGAGGGTGCATGTCTTTGGGAACAGCCCTTCCCCAACTGTAGCAATCTATGGTCCAAGAAAGACAGCCCAGCTTGGAGAAGAGAGGAGTCTTGTCCATAGTGAATAGCATCTACGACCCATCTACGACCCACTGGGATTTATAGCCCTAGTCACCACCCAAGGTAAGACGCTTTTAAGACAGCTTACTAATGATAACATAGATTGGGACACTCCGTTACCTATTGAGAAACAACAAAGATGGGAGAAATGGAAAGGTTCTCTAAAGCCACAAGAACAGCTCCAAATTCCATGTTGCTATGCCCCAGTCTCCATTTCAGCCGCTAACCAGAGGGAAATCCATATTTTCTCAGACGCATAAGTTGAAGCTATAGCTGCAGTGGCCTATTTGAAGACCTCAGGGATCAATGGAGACATACATTGCAATTTTGTTCTAGGCAAGGCAAAGCTAACACCAAAACCTGCACATACCATTCCCAGACTTGAACTTTGTGCAGCCGTGCTAACAGTGGAAATAGCTGAAGTCATAAAGAGTGAAATGGACATTAAAATAGATTCCTTCACATTTTACACAGACAGTAAGATAGTGCTTGGATACATTTACAACCAAACCAAACAATTTTACGTGTACGTCAGTAATCGAGTAGAACGTATCAGAAGGTTCTCTCTGCCAAAGCAATGGCATTATATTCCCACTGACCTTAATCCTGCTGAATATGGGACAAGACCGATATCCTCAGCAGCTCTCCATGGCTGCTTGTGGCTGTCGCCTCCAAGATTTCTTTGTGAAAACCCCTACTCAATTGTCACTGACGTTACCTAAGAATTGGTACTTCTTCTCCCAAGTGAGTGACTTATGCAAGAGTACCAGGCGGTACGGTGCTATGGCGGGGAGAACGCCACTATAACTGTTAACTATGCCACTGTTGAAGCACCACGGCTATAAACTGTAGATTACAGGACTTTAGCCATCCGTTATTGGATTTCATGTTGTATTGTTCATTTACTGCATACCTTCTTTGTTTTGCAGGTATCTCTTATTTATGGTTTACACACCAGTATTATTTTCCAATATTTTCTTCACTTACAGGTTCAAGTTGAACTTTTAGACATTTGGACTTATCTTTATATATATGTATATATATAATAGGCTTTGAAATCTAAAGATTTCAGGTGGGTAGTGTCATGTTACATGATATTGTTTTATTATAATGTACTGTTTCTTTAATGTTCATCTTAAGTTTGTCTCTTGGGCCACTCCATAGTTTGCATGCTGCTTCAGGTACTCCTCTCCCCCTCTCCTGTTCTAGTGTTTTCTATGCTGTACATTCATATGTGACTTGTATCTCTCCTAACCTGTATGGAAGAATCGTTCTTTTACCTGTTGTAACTGCACATTCTACAGATCATACGATGAATAAACACCGCCAGATCTTCTTTCATGTGAGTTGTGACTGAGTAAACTATCTGGGAAGGTGATTTGGCATGGATAATCTCATCAGGGCAATGGGCGCCATGTGCTCCTAAAAAACACATTCATAGCCTTTGCAGCCGTTCCAGAATATTGCCAACTGTTGGCAATTTGTTACCAGGGGTGCTGGGTGACTGGGCTAGAACCATGAGAGTGCCCCCCAAAAGCCTTGGGTGTAAAACATGCACATTTTAATTAGTAGATCTGATTCCCACGTCCTGGGCCAGGCCGGGACACTAAGGCTACACTGAGCAGACATTCCTCATTGAAGTTCCAGCACTCTGCAATCACGTACTGGAACCTTAGTGCTTGTCTATTGTGAAGGTGGCAGTGAGGAGCGAGGACATTGAGAGTATAGTGGATATCTGGATATCTCCACTTCCAGGTATGACTTCCACAGAGCGTTTCACATTGTACATGGCTAGTGTCAGCTGCATATGGAAAATACATTGTTCTGCTATAAATGATCCAGTCCTTTTTGCCTTTACACAGATCTGCACACATGTCTGTATCTGTATTTCTACCTGTGTATGCCTGTCTAGGTATGTATGTATGTGCCTGTCTGTTTCTGTGTGTCTTTCTGTGTCTGTGTGTACCTGTCTGTGCACCTATCTGTGTATATGTGTGTCGGTGTCTTTTTATATTTGTGTCTGTGCCTTTATGTGCTTGTGCTCAAGTCCCTGGTTTATTTTAACCACAGCAACTCTCTGTTTGTGCCATTCATATTGTTTTAATTAAAAAAGAAAAAACATGCAAGAAATTTTAAAAAAATCACATAGCTGGTTTGTCCATATACCAAATGGGAAAACCACTATTTTTTAATTATCTCCCTCCATCTCCTATGAATGATTAGTATTTCCAACTTCCTAAGCAAATTATGCTAATATAATAATAAATATAAACAATATATTTTTATTGAATGGTTTAAAAATGTTACATTTAAATGACACCTAAAAATCATTAAAAAAACTGCTCTGATGAATAGATTTCAAATGGTATTGTTGTAGATTACAATGTAAAAACAGTAATCAACCTTATTACAACACATATATATTTTCACAATGGCTAACGCCGACTGAATTTGGATCTGGACTGGTGAAACAATCTATGAGATGGCTTGGAGCTATCTTTGATGTCTTCTGGGATAAACTAGCAGCTCGAGCAGCACCATCTCAGCTGAATGGCCAAGTTGGAACACAGATACGCAAGAGGCAAGATGGCAGTGAAACCACAAGTGGCGTCACTATACCAAAGCACCAGTTCCTCACACTAACGACGCTGGGTTGAAGGCCACCAGGGTATAAATACCTTGCATTGACCACAGAAGCGGGGCATTTATACACCTAGCCCCTGCCACCCCCTCAGCAGGAATAACTTGGACTTCACCCGGTCTTGAGTTCATGGAAAGCTGATGTGGGCCTAAACACAAGCCTGTGGCAATGGGGTTCCCTTGCCGCATCTCTGCCCAACAATCGCAGCTAGACCGAGCATCCCGAGTCTAGGAATTGGCTGAACTGGGACTCACAACAGCATAAGTCTTACACCAACAGTGTTTCAATGGCAACATATTTTGGAGGTCACTGTTCATATAAGCTGTGCTATGTCTTCTATTACTCACATTCTCTTTTATTGTTTTACATTTCAGATATGTTTGGTACCACTCCACAATTACGCTCTTTGGTGCAGTGGTATCTTTGTGAGTACGGACATCACATGTGATATAGCCTTTCTCATATTTCGAGTTATTCTCATATTAGCGTTCGCATCGTACAAACATGTTAATTATTACTTTGATATAACGTCTTCACATGTCTGTAACTTTGCCTATGTCCTGTTCTTCACCAGTATCTAGACTTGCCAACCTAGCTCGTTTAGTTTCTATTTTATCTTTACTTTAATTTTATAAATGTGCAGCTCCTCTTGACATTTGATGTGTTATTTTATAAGCCTGAATTTACATGGTATGTTTAACACCTTATGTCATTGTTACTTCGTATGCATCTCTCTGTACATCTAAGAATAAAGAATGTCAAAAATATAACACATATATTCTTAAGTTTTGTTCTATTAATCCCTTAAAGACCAAGGCTTTTTGAAATGCAACGTTTGTGATCTAGGACTTTTTGTCACTTTTGCCATGTGCCCATTCTATCACAATTTCCCCCTTTCTGTTTAAGTGCACCCATACATATTATATATAATTTTAGAGGAGAAATATAGCTTTCTTTTGATACCATACAGGTGCACATAACACAATATTAAATAGGAATAAAATATATTTTTTAAATGGATTTTTTTTTTTTAAATATTACATTTTCTAGGTTTTACATTGAATAATTTCTACACACCAGGCGCAAATAAAGAAAACTAACTCAAAAAGAGATTTACTAATTAGCCACGATTGATAAAATGCCCAATATGTTTAGGATTTCATTTATTTTTAGAAGTTATAAAACAAATACTACAAGGTGTAAATTATTGTTTGAAAGGTAAAACTTAACAGTAACAGAATCCAACACCTCTACACAAAAGTATATAGAAGGTCATGTAACTAAGAGCATTTTACATTTAACCATTTTGTAATGAACCTAGGTCAAATTAGTAAATTTTTTGTGCCAGTGTGTCTGTGTGTCAAGGTGTGTGTATCTGACACACACACACACACACCGGGAAAACATAGTAGCACACAGATACACACACTGACACACAAATACACATACCTTGACACAGAGATACACACGCCTTGACACACAGTGTGTATCTGTGTGTGTGTGTATGTATGTACCTGTGTGTCCAGGTGTGTGTATCTGTGTGTCAAAGTGTGTGTATCTGTGTTTGTATGTGCCGGTGTGTGTCTGTGTATCAAGGTGTGTGTATCTGTGTTTGTATGTGCCAGTGTGTGTATCACACCTTGACACACAGATACACACACCGGCACATACACACACAGATGCACACACCTTGGCACACAGTGTGAATCTGTGTGTGTGTATGTGTGTGTCAAGGTGTGTGTATCTATGTGTCAAAGCATGTGTATCTGTGTTTGTATGTGCCAGAGTGTTTCAAGGTGTGTGTATCTGTGTTTGTATGTACCAGTGTGTGTATCTGTGTGTGTGTGTGTGTATGTATCTGACACAGAAATACACACACACATACTGGCACATGGTGGCACCAAATACACACACTGACCTTGACACACAGTGTGTATCTCTGTGTGTGTGTGTGTGTGTGTATGTATGTGTGTGTCAAGGTATGTGTATCTATGTGTCAAAGTGTGTGTATCTGTGTTTGTATGTGCCGGTGTGTGTAAAGGTGTGTGTATCTCTGTGTCAGTTTGTATCTGTGTGTGTTTATGTATCTGACACACAGATACACACACTGGCACAGATACACACACTGGCACATACAGACACACACTGGCACATACACACACTGACAGATACACTGACACACACAGACACACATATATACACACTAAGTGACACATACACACACCTTGACACACAGATACACAAACTGGCAACTAAGCAAACAAATTCACACACATTGGGAGATACACACACTGACACAGGTACACACACACAGAGATACATACACACACACATGTTTTTAAATTTGCTGTTCAGTTATCTTTTTTCTGCAGGAGGATCTTCAGTGCTGCTGGCTGGTGGTTGGGTTGGTGTGCTGCTCAGTCCCCACTGCACCCTCTCCCCCTCCAGACGGCGCACTCTGTGTGGGAGGGAGTGCTGTCACTTTCTCTCAGCAACCAATATTACAGGGGTCCGGTCGCAGTTTTAGATAACTGCAGCGCCTGACCGGACCCCTGTTAAGTGATACCCATCTGGTGGCCCTAAATGCTTGGGCCACCCAATGGGCAAATCACAGTGGAACCCCAATTTTGTTCTTGTGGAACCCTAGGGTTCTGCGGAACACTAATTGGGAAACACTGGCCTATATGCATTCTTATCCATTAATCCTGTCCCTAATCCCACCCCTAACATATTCCCTTAATCAAACCCTAATCCAAACCTTAATGCAATGTTTAATACAATCCTTAAAGGACCACTCTAAGCACCCAGACCACTTCAGCTTAATGAAGTGGTCTGGGTGCCTGGTCCTTCTAGGGTTAACCCATTTTTTCATAAACATAGCAGTTTCAGAGAAACTGCTATGTTTATGAATGGGTTAAGCCTTCCCCTATTTCCTCTAGCGGCTGTCTCATTGACAGCCACTAGAGGCGCTTGCGTGCTTCTCACTGTGATTTTCACAGTGAGAGCACGCCAGCGTCCATAGGAAAGTATTATGAATGCTTTCCTATGTGACCGGCTGAATGCGCGCGCAGCTCTTGCCGCGCGTGCGCATTCAGCCGCATGGGAGGAGAGGAGGAGGATCAGAGGAGGAGAGCTCCCCGCCCAGCGCTGGAAAAAGGTAAGTTTTAACCCCTTTCCCCCTTCCAGAGCCGGGCGGGAGGGGGTCCCTGAGGGTGGGGGCACCCTCAGGGCACTATAGTGCCAGGAAATGAGTATGTTTTCCTGGCACTATAGTGGTCCTTTAAGCTAACCTAAAAGCCTACCCAAAAATCTACCCATAATCCCCTCTATAATTCCAGTCATAAACCCACACTTTAATGCCAGTCTTAATCCCACTTGCTAACCCACCCCTAATCCCACCTCTCAAGGGATTCCCCCTGTTGATGTCCTGACCCCAAGTCCTCTATACAGTGTGATTGCAGCATGAGAGGAAGATCTCCCTCTCATGCTGTAGCTGCAGTACACAGAGATTGGACCTGGGCAGTTGGCAAAGCACAACATCGATCCAGCAGGAGATTGCAAGTAGGGAGGCCTCTTTAGCGTATTTTCAGACTGGGGGGGTCTCCCTCACACTGCAGCGGGATTTAAAAATTTACAGCAGAAGTGCAATTGTGAAGTTGTAAGGACTATGAACAGCATTTGCTTTCAACGGTGTTAAAAATACAGCGGCTAAGCAAGATCATTCAGCCACGATATTTAAGGAGGAGATTTGCTTGGGGCGCATGGCAGGCCCGTTCAAAGCACCCTTGTTTCCTAACTTAAGAGTCTCTCCTCTGGACTTGGTGCCCAAGAAAAACCGGGAGAGTATCACCTCATTCACCACCTGTCTTACCCAGCGGGCGGGTCAGTGAATGACGATATTGATAAGGTGGTGTCTCGAGTGCATTACGCCTCTTTTGATAGGGCCCTCGAATTGGTTCGGGAGGCTGGGGCCCTTCTGCCGAAGTCAGACATTGAGTCTGCACTTCGCCTGTTTCCAGTGCACCCGGGCTGTTTCCATTTATTGGGATGTTACTTTAGCAGTTCCTTCTATTTTGATATGTGTTTACCAATGGGTTGTTCAATTTCATGTTCCTATTTTGAGATGTTTGCGAAGAAGGTGCAGTTGCACCAGTTGCAGGTTTTTTTAGGTCACCTTAATTTTGAATGCAGGGTGCTCTCAATGGATTGGGCCTTCTGTCGATGCCTGTCCCTGTTGACAGTAGGAGTCAGATAGCCTTTTCACTTTATTCGGATCACTAGCAGGCTGTGGGAGGATCTTCGGATGTGGAGTTCCTTTCTCGGTATGTATAATGGGCAGTGCTGCTGGCTGCGCTCTGCAGTGTCTAATGCAGACCTAGATTTGCTCACTGACCCATCCAGCTTGGTTGGATTCGGGACATATTTTCAGGGCCGGTTGTCTGCGGAGGCGTGGCCTCGGAGTTGACAGTACAGCGATTGGATGGGCAATTTGGCATTCTTAGAGCTCTTTCCCATTGTTGTGGCAATGGAGCTTTGGGGGAGTGAATTTGCCATTTGGAAGGTGGTGGGCATTATGTCCGTGGTCTACATGATTAACTGATCAACTTCGGCGTCGCCTCCGGTCTTAGCGCCTCTAAGTGCTCCTTAGCTTGCACCACAATATTTGGCTGGTCACGTGTCACGTCCCGGGAAGTTTGAATGTAGAGGGGAGAACCTTGTCCGCGACAGTTATGGGACCTAACTTCAGACATCTGAGGCGGTTGGTCAGAGGGTCTCTCTCTGAGTCGTCCTGGCGGTCTTACGCTGCAGTCTGGCGTCACTTGTGGGATTTGGGATCTTCCAGATGTCTGTCTTCCGAGGCAGGTAGGTTGAGCACTACTCTGGAGCTGTTACAATCTTTATGTGCATAGGGTAAGTCGGAATCGGTGGCGAATCGGCACTTGGCAGCTCTGTCGTTTTTATGCCAATGGCTCAGTTGGGTAGACGTGTTGAAGGCGTTTTGTGTGTCACGGGTGGTAAAAGGGTGGATGAGGAGCCTTAGGCTGGATATTTAAATCCTTTAAATTGTTGCAACAGCTGTGAATGTTCCTGCCTCAGGTATGTTGCTCCCCATATGAGGTGTGTCTGTTCTGTGTGGCCTTTTCGTTGTGCTTTTCCGGTGCGTTACGCATAGTGGAGTTGGTGGCGCTGAGATTATCATCCCAGTCTTCCTTACGTCGGGAAGATTTGTCTATGTCCCCCTCGGGCATAGTGTATTTGACGGTCTAAGATAGAGCTGTGTGTCAGGGCAGGTCATACTAGTGTTGAACGCGGGCGGAAATGAGATCGGACGCCAGAGGTCTTTCGATCTCATCCATGCCATGAAGTAGGATATGGTGCGTTGTTTGGCCCTATTTTTGGATTTGATTTTAATCTGGTCTGAGATCATCCCTCGCTCAGTCTGGAGGGTGGGTTCGAAGGGGAAGGGCTTGGAGCAATGTAGGAGGAGAATTAATATGACAGTTTCTAGGTTCATTCACCGCCTTGGTGGTCTGGTGGTGCGACAATTCCAACGTGATGGGATGAGGTTCACCTATTCCCCATAGGGTTGGATATATGTGGGATTGCAGTCAGGTATCAAAGCTGCATTGTCTGTGGGAGGGCACGATGCCGGCGCGGCATGGGAAGCGCTAGAGGGGCATCGCGGTGGCGTTATCCTGGACACCGCAGAGGATAAAAGACAAGACGAAGAGTCACTCTGGGAAGATGACAGCCTGCACGGGAGCTGATGGCAAGTGCCGGCTGTATAGGCTGAATAGGCTCTGGGGAAATAAGATTGGATAACTATCTGTTGGGCATCTGCTCAACAGCTGACAGGGTTGTGTGGATAATTTGAATATTGGATATGTGAATAAAGCTGTGGACATTGCCCTTATCCAATTGGGGGGGCAACGGTGGTTAAGCGGGTTATGGGTCAGCAGTCAAGAGCAAACTTGGAATGGCGGGACAGGATCTCAAACCAACACTGTCTAACCTGGGTATTTTTAAAATAATGAATGAGAGTTGTGCTCTAGATATCACATCCAACGACCTGCGGCCCATCTCACTATTACTGTGTGCATTAAGCCGTGTTTCTAACAGTAACTCACCTCCTAGCCCATTTCGATGTCTCTTGAGATTTCAGTGAGAGAGGCACTTGACTGGGACCTTGTTTTCCATAAAAAAATTAGTAAATATTATTTTAGGCCACTCCAAGTAGATTATGGGGATCTTGTAGGAAATATATAGTTATAACAGACAACACGGAAACTTTGCTTCACATGCCCCATTGAAGACCTTTTGTTCTTCATTTCTCTGCAATATCGGCACACGAGGAAACCATATCACATGATATCCTTTAGCTGATGAATAACAGTCTTTGTATCTTTTAATACTGACTTACGTAAAACAATAGAAGCTAATGTGATAATACAATTTCATCAATTCTGCTTACCCAGATATCTTTGTGGTACATCAGAGCAGTTTCTTCCTGTTGTTCGTCATGAAAATAAATAAATAATAAATCTTTTTAAAATGTATTTAATTTTTTTTATTTTTTTTTATTAGGCTAATATGATCTAAAAAAAGATGTGCAAGTCCCTGCATCCAGACCAAATCAATGAGCTGAAGTGGTCTGGGTGCCTATAGTGTCCATTTAAAGCAGCGGTTC